AAGTGCAGTGGTTAGCTTCATCAAGTGGTCAGGAATAGACTGGCTCCATTCTCGATGTCGCCCTTCTAACTCCAAACGTAAATCGTCAGGTGGCGAAGATTAAAGCCAATCAGCTCTAGAATGTGGTCTACACAAATTGGCACGGTCCACCTCCGATAAGAAGAATCGGACAATTATTTTTGCATGATAAGCAGATATTGATAAAAGAGCCACAAAACTGTAAATGTATATAATGAAATGTTTGCAATGCAATGCATGTAATGTGCATATCAAGACGATATTGTGTTGTTTACATCCAGTTACCAACACGCGATGCAGGCAATTGTGACTCCATGTCAAGCAACAGGTGGTCTTGTAATCCCTTGGTTTCGGCTCCAATAATTTAAGGATTACCAAAATTAGTTCATGACACGTTAGGAGGCGTCAGTTTTATTTACCGGGCCTTGCCAGACGAATAAGGTGATGCATGCTGCAGAGATAGGTGGTGAGACTAGTTAAGGCGATTATGCGCTTTAAGGTGAGTGGTACTACAATACAAATTGCCCCTCATATTCTCCAAAATTAAAATATCTTATAACATTTATGTTTCTATCTACTTGTGATGCGAAATCCATGTGTCGAATCAATGCCTCTCTGTCCCCTTGTCAGATCATTCCAAATGAGTGATTCCCTTCTTAGCATACAACAAGAAAATCTGCTTCGATGAGTCACGACAGCATTTTGCTGATTTGTCTACAAAACAATTGTCGGTAGAAAGATGCGTCTTCATTAACCAATGAGGATATTTCGAGCGAAGTACTATTCACTACTTAATTTGAGTGGGCGACTCGTCCACTTGACTTACTTCATGTGTCACACAAACATTGTTATGGGGCTACTAAAGAGGATTCTTAAGTTCGACCCTGCAGAAGATCCCTTGATTTTATAAAAAGTCAGTCCGGCTTCTGCTTGCTCTTTAGGATCCGGTGGCACTGTTACCAACTGACGAACACCGTCTTCATCAAGTGTGGAATTAATATTGTATTTTACTAATGACCTTTCCTTACCGTATTCAGCCTCGCGAAGCAAGGCATCAAGCCGATTCCTTGTGCAAGAAGCCACTTTATCCCAATAGACACCGCAGTAGAAATCAAGATTTTCGACTTTTACCGTTTAAGACAGGACTCGAAAAAACCTGTTGATTCATTGGGATGTTTTTCACATTTATCATCCTATTGTGATTAGAACACGGCCACCTCATTTCTTCAACCCTATTTCTGGCGTCTGGTAGAACCAATCTGAACACAATTTCGGCCGTTAGAAGAGCCAGACCCCACACATCAGCCGTTGTTGTAATTTCTATCCTATTAGTTACTTTACCTGCTATAAAATTGGGAGTTTCACAAAAGTCACGCCCATCTGGAGCTATGTTTTTCTCTGACAGCATATTCAGGACTCAGGACTCATCACTCATCTTCCTTGAACCAATATATCCATTTATTGGTCCATCAATACCTAGACTATCTATTCACGTTTTTTCATCTCGTGTACCTTCATTCACTCATCTCTTGAAGACCAATATCCCTTGATCCTCTAATCGCTCTTCGCAATTCTACTTGAAATTGCCTTTTTCATTCTATGAAAAAAGGCTTCCCAAATTGGCTAAAAAAGCTGTTACAACCAAGGGTGAGAAGCCAGGGAACGAAGTTAACGCAGAAGTTGGTGCTGAAAAAAAACGACGCCTCTCCCATATCGGGCCGTTGAGGAGAGAAGGGAAGTCAGATTTCCCAGTTCCATCTTCACCTTGTGGACGATGTCTTCGTCTCCTGTTTCAGAATCAATGGTATTGGCAATGGTGATATTGGTGAGAGCAGTGCCGCCTTATCCCGTAGGAGATATTATAGTCCTGTTGTCGCTACTACAGCCTCTCTCATATCACCTTCGAAGACGTGCTCCCTCTGAGAGTCTTTTAGAAAATGCTGATTTATAACTTTGCGAAGGACATTGGTGACAGAGTTGGATTTCACTGTGATGGAGACTGAGTTGAACGTACCTAAGGTGTTGGATTAGAGTCTCAAAATTAATCATCAACACTTGCATCATGTTCTGGAGGTTCCATGAAATAAGTGAATGACCAAAGCAATCCCCTCCTACCTATGTTCTATAGGTTAATGAGTTAATCTTTTCCTCAATACATAATTTCACCTCTTACCACGAGTTTTCACCTCGGATACGAACATCCGCATAGTCAATAGGTCTGTCAAACACAGTTTCCGGCTTCCAGCGTCGACGAAGTGAGCTCGTTAGTGGCGATTATCGGAGCACAGGCCTGAATTTACGCCGTATTGAGTTTTTAATGATGGAAGACAAGGTGGAGTAAGAGAGTTCGTGGGTGGGAACGAGTGTGGATATGAGCACCTCCGTGATAAACGAGCTCATTCTCCTCTAGACTGTCATGCTTAGTTCTCTCTCCGCCTCATCTCCTGATCCAACTCAGCCTTTTACCGTGAGCTGCTGTTCCTTTGAACTTATTTTGCACCTCATTATTGTGTCGGTAGGCCAATGAAGACTTGCAAGACTACCTGAATCGATGTGAGAATCAGATGGTAAGCCTCTTCGCTAAGCCAATACCAAAGTTGGAGAGCCTGCTTACCACCGTTCAGACATCTAACGGTGGATTGTCATTTGTAAGCTTATCCCCATCTATCACTCCCTCGTATTCCTTGTTTGCATTTCATTTACTCGAGTTTTAATTTGAACTTGTTTAGTAGATGGACCGGAGTTACTCGACCTGTCTCTTTTATTCTCGGCTCCTTGCGAGGTCATAGGCCATATTATGCTTAACTTGATTTCCATTACTTTTCTGACAAAGCTTTGCAAACGATAGTAGCACCCTCAATGCAGATCTCAATTTGCCTACTGATCACGATGCAGACCTTATGACAGGTAAATTTCAAGTATTGAAAGGAATTTCGGTAGTCTTTCTCTTGGTCTAAGTGGTCTCCTTTATTGATAGCTGATGTTCTTTTACAAATGGCTCCTGGATACACATGGGAGTAAGCCTTTGAAATGGTGACAGAGGCGATCATATACCTCACAAAGTACTTAAAGATGTCTGACATGTCTTACTTCGTAAATACTAATGTAGCCATCGGCTTACCATTGAAGGCGTTGTTGTTAGGGTATACGGGCATGCAGATAGCCTATTTTTAACTTATTGGAAATGATTAGGTACTGAGAACATCACGACCATTGCATGATGTGCTGGTCATCGCAACGACCAGGTCGAAACGAGTGCGACTTACAAAACCCATTAAACTGCGGAAAATTGTTGAAGTTAAGTAGAGGTTCTGTTGACCGCACAATTAAAAAACAACATTTATAATTTTCATTTACTCATTTTCTCTAGCTTTTGACAACATGAGAATACATTAAGTTGGCCTTTAGTACTTTCACTTACTAGCTAGCTCAAGATCTTCTTTAATAGATATTTTTTTCCTAGTTTGTCGAGGTGAATGCACGTTATCGGATCCTCATGATCTGGATCATTTTGGCACACTACTCAACCGAAATCTGGCATATTTGTCTCAGCTCTCATCGTCACCTTCCTCTTATTTTGACTAAGTGTTCCTTATTTATTTCTTCTGGCCATTTTTTCTAAACGAATACTGATTTCCCATGTTCTGACATCTCCACCTCACTCTCTCTACATCTCCTACGTCACACCACGTGTACATGGAAGCAATGAGAGAAGAAACTCGGCTGTGCCCTTCCCTCGTCTCGAAGTTAGAGCAAACACCATAACTTGCAGCTGCCTACTTTACTGTCAGTGCATTCAGATGGTTATCCCGGCACAGAAACTGCCGACCCTGTGTGAGTGCTATTTCTTACTTTCTTCTAAACCCATCCATCTATCTATCCCATTCATTTGGCTTTCGTAGCTGTTTTTCACTCTTATTTTCTTCTTATTGTTTCACCTCCTTCCGCGACCAACACTGAAACTGCACTCTCGGGACCCGGTAGTCACGAAACTGTGCACGAGGTAGTGAGTGCAGAGAGAATCTACCATCTCAGTTCGACCTTAGCCCATTTCCTATGAGACATTGTTATATCCATTGTGAATTTCGTCTTCCTCCTAGGGCTCTGTACAAATGTTTGTGTGCGTGTGTGGGTATTTTGACTTCTTGATACTTAAATGAAGTCAGTGCTTATGTAGGACGAGGCTCGTAGATCTCCTCTTCCCTCGTCCTCCTACTATTAAAACATCCAGATTGGTTTGGCTTTAATATGCTTATTAGGATAAGTAAATGAGGGAAGCAAGTACAGAGTTTGGGGGTGTGGACACGGAACCGCTCTCGGGGTTGCAGGACATTGACGCCTCAGTCACGGTTTTCGACTTGTCTGTCGGCTTCCTCTCTCAAAGGAACATTAAGACAACATAAGTATAACATATGCCTTTTTGCTGATCGTCAGAGTATTAAGGGAGTTGGTAGACGAAAGGTGATATGAGTTTGTGATGTGGACTAGTGAATGCGTTCCTGAGATTCTCATTTGGATTTGTGTAAGCTGCTGGTACCCGATTGAATCTCTGGATTGGTCTACTACTGCCATTACTTACCTTTCCAACCGTTTCGGATCCTAATTCTCATCTCAAGTCGACCATACGCCTAGCTAAGCTAATTAATCACACATATCAAAACAAATTAGGAGTTTCAAATTTCGATTCTTCACAAGTGGCTCAATCGAGACTTCCCATATTTTGCTTAATGCACAGACCACTGAAGTAACCGAAAGCACTTTCAGAGAAGGATCACTAATAACAACCACAAACCACCGAAAGTATGAAACTTTACTCTAACGCTATCATATACTACCTTTCATTTATTCGCCTAACCCAAAAAAACTTAGCACACAGAAAATTGGGATGGTTTTGAAAGTGATAACTCAAATAAATTCTGGATGATTGGCAAAATTTGTTGATTCCTGATCCCTTTATTACAAATAAGCACAGTCTTATTTTGCTGTATTCACCGACATGATCAGTATTTGCAAGGTCGCATTTCCTGCACAACTGTGCTAGCAATTTGATTCAGTCGCTTTCCTGACACATCGGTCATTTGGATGCTCAGGGTGTCGGACGTAAAGACATTGCACAATGCTGGTAAAGTAAAAGACCCGTTAAAATTATTCCAGTTTTCATACGTTTCATCGTTAGTGAGGAGAGGTCTCTTGCCTTTTGTTGAAGGAGGAACTCTTGCTCTAGTTTGTCGAGTATCCGGTCGGATGCGGTCCTTTTACGCAATACTTTAAGTTGTTAATATTATGAAAGGCATTAAAGGGGAAGAAATTGATGTGTGGAAGGTCTTCAGTGACAATCGCTCATGTATTTGCCAACCTAATGACAGGGTGGATGTTTGGAGGTCACTCAGGGAAGAAGCGCAAGCTGTCATAGGGTAGTGACGAAAGGGAGAATAGGAAAGAGGGAAGGACTTGGGCACTATATGCACTGGAATCACCATACTGATTTGCGATGTGAAAGGCGACGGTGAAGATGTAAGATGGTGTGGTGTTTACTGCGGGGCATAGGAAAGGGAAGTAGGTGGGTTTAAATACAGCAGCACATTCCTTAGGACGAACGACCCAATAGATGGAATGGAACGTTTATTTAATGGTTCCCAAACAGATACCTCCCCTTCTTATTGACAAAACCTATGCAAATAATTTATTCATTCCACATCTGTTTTTGCTATGAGAAAGGGATAATGTGATAGCATAGTGCCACCAATCGAAGCATCAAAGCGCTGTGCCCTTCCCTCATACCCACTCACCTAAATGGTAGTGCTGGTGAAGTAGGCTTCTGCATGATGCCGCCTATATGGAAAGCAAAAGAGCAACTTATTTTGAAAAAGCCATATTTATACAATCCTGCTATAGGGTATGCTGGATGGGGTAGGGGATGGATTTTTAACTAGGGAAACAACACAGGAGCCGCTGAAGTTCTCTCTTACGGCGCCCTATGATTTCTAAATATAGTTTTGAGTCGGGCGAATTTAACAGAAGCGTTATCAGGAGAAGATGTAATGACTTTAAGGAGCAAAGAGAAAAAAGTTGGAAGTAGGGAGAGGAGAGGGATAGGTGAGGAAATCAGAAATGTAGGAATGAGGGAGTAGATGAATGCGGAGCAGCAGCTGCAAAAGTGGTTGTCAATGTTAGTGAGTAATTCGATGTGACTCCAATTCATTTATTTATTGCTCATTGCTAACAGCGCTGGTTCCGAAGCAAATCTACTTGATTCAACATGATGTATGAAACGCGCCTTCAATGCGTTCTCGTCCCTACCTTCACCTGCCCACTCAACTTATAGTTGTATCATCGCAGCCTCCTACCTTTACACACCAAAACTGTCTTGTCAGCCCTTTCCCAATTTGTCATTGATTTTCTTCTCTTTCCCTCTTTTGTCTTTCTTCTTCAACTCTGTCAAATAGTCTTGCAATACAATTAATCTGGAAAGACCTCTGCACCCCAAACTCATTTTGGTCTTCCTTTATCACGTCTTTCTCCATTTCCCACATACGTGCACATCAAAAGTATAACTGCTTGTTAGCAAGAGGGAATTTGTTTTATATATCACCGCTTGCTGTATTTACTTCATTCCGTCTACGTGCACTTTACCCATATCATCTACAAAGGCTTATAGTTCTCGATCACTCGCTCGGCAAGCTCACGTAGTTGAACGTTCAAATTTACTCAAATTTAGGACATTCTTAGATTCGACGATCCCCAAGCCAGCCACATCACAATATTGCCGTTTGACTCCGATTTACTCTGCATAACCTTTTCCTGTGCCGAATTTTTTAGCGCTTTCATGAACCACTCCACTTCAGACGACCTGGCGACGTGACGCGTTCTCCAGGCATTGGTTAGATTTCCCAAGGTAGCTGTCGACCGTGTTTCCCGGTGATATGCGTTTTCCAATTAAAGTGTCTTCTCACTCCTATTACATGTTGCCATTCATTCTACTGGCTTGTAAAATTGTTATAAAAGAAATCCCTTTGGAGGAAGCTCTGCTTACACCTAGTGGAAAAACCAATGATAATAAACACATCCACATATGGATTTACAACCCAAGGTGGAATTAGAGTACCTCCACTGGCTCAACTACTACCTTCGTCGACTTCGGCGGCCACTGATCCAATTGGCCTTGCAATTTCAATCCGCCTGATGAGATAGCTGTTTCCTCCAGTGGGGCACTGCGCCTCGGCGCAAGCACAACCACAAGTGCTTGGACCAGTCCAATGTCTCTATGGGTCTGACTATCTTAATTTTCCACCTTAACTCACATTGTGTAACTCTAGTTTTAGCTCTGTCCCTAGCTCATGTTTTTATGCTGCAACAGTTTGCCAACGACTGCCTACCTAGCTCTAAGCGCAAGTGGTTTCAAGAGGACGTTGAAATATTTCAACTTGAGCCTGGAGACTTTGGGGCTTGAAGCGAGGGCACTTCAATTAGTGTAATATGCAATATTTAGTAGCAGATTTGCAGTGTTACCAAAAGGAACCACATAAACCACTGAAGCATGGTTGATATGCTAATTACCAGACAGTAGAGCAGTGTCAAACATCTGTAAGGTGACTTTTGCATGTATTGGGATAATAATGGTAGTAGCACTACTGTCACTTCAAATCACATAAGTTGTGCTCAAATTCGTTTTGTACTTTCTTTTTCTCGGCTTTGCCATAGGACCTCCCAATACCCCGTAAGTCACGCGCTCGCTTCACCCCTCTCTGTCTATGTCTCTCTTTATTATTACAACCTTCTCATAACATCCCCTCATTTTTCTCTAGACCCAACATTTCACCTAGGAATCAAAAGGAACTGCAGAGGATGTCTCCGTAGTTAGAAACTAATCACCTTCCCATGCCTCATATCCCATAGAATCAAGCCGTTCTTTTCAGTCTCCTTGTGGGTAGCATCACGTAGAAGCTTACTTCGCCAGCAGTGGCACTTTGGGTAGGTGAATAGGTGAGTAGGTGTAAAGAACGCAGAATCAGACTACTTTTGGGAGTATCAACATGCCATTACATTATCGCCTTCTCTATGTAAAATCATTAGAACGTGGGTCACCAATAATGATAAAATGAGTAACAGCTAAGAGTACTAGCTACTCTGCCCTAGTTATGGGAAATCCAGTAGATATGCGCAAG